ACACACACACACACACACACACACACACACACACACCTGTCTGTCCACAGACAACTTCCTCTCTTCCTTTCCAGAGAGAACCCCTATGACTTATCTCTACCAAACCAAACCTTTGGCTCTCTATTTTCTTCTGTCTTCTTACAACAGAGAGTTTGTTGCTGTGTAGGCCAGGGTTTCTTAATCTTGGCACTATTGACATTTTGGGGCTAGGATTACTCTTTGCTGTGGGGGCTGCCCTATGCATTGCAAGGTGTTTAACGGCATCTCTAGTCTCTACCCACTAGATTCCAGTAGCAACCCCAGTTACAACAACCAAAAATGTCTCCAGACATTGCAAAGTGTGCCTTGGTGGGAGTCGGGGTACAAATCGTCCCTGGCTGAGAATCACTAGACTAGGTTCATTCCTCTACCTGTGCCTGGCACTCTGCCTCCCCCTCACATATGTACAATCTTCTCAGGAATCATACAATATGAAATATATTTTTCTTGCCTGTATAGTCAGCAGCTCCTTCTGAACTGGATTCTTTTCAAATATTTAAACATGCAGATGTTTTTCACATGTTTAAAAAAAAATCCTCCCTCAACACTTCCACCCTCAGCTACCAGCACCTTTCCTCTCCACGGCATCTTGCAAAAGTTCATTATTCCCCTTGCCTCCATTCCTCCTTCCCATTTGATCCTCACTCCCTCAAATATGACTCCTCTCCTTCTGCCCCTATAGCTTAACTGACTTCCATGTCAATAAATGAAGAGGAAATTTTCCAGTGCATGGACATAAATAAGGCACACCAGAGGAGAACCAAGGTGAGGGAAATGAAGATCCCGAGTTCGGTCTTGACCCTGTTGAGTTTCAGAGGTCCCAGAGGCATCCTAGAAGAAATGTTGGGTGAATACTGGGGCAAAGAAGGCTGGAGTGAGAGGGTATGTCTAGCCTCGGACATAAATGTCTGGGCCTCTGGCAGTGTACCTAGGGGCATACAGGTATGTATGTAGGTATGTGTGTATGTATGTATGTGTGTAACAATGCCATAGGTGTGATGAAGTTCCTTGGAAGGGTGTGTGTGGGGGTGTCTAGAGCAGTTATTCTCAAACTTTAGGGTACTTCAGAATCACTTGAATGGCTTGAAAAGTGAATATTTCTGGGCTCCATCCCCAGAGTTTTTAGTACAGTAAAAACTGAATAGCCTCAGTGGGATGCATAATTTGCATTCTACCTAGTTCTCAGATAATACCGAAGCTACAGGTCTGAGTACCACACTTTGAGAACCACTGATCTAGAGTAAGGAGAGGGTAGCCAGGGCTCAACTGGGACGCTCCAACATTTGTTACGCCGGGAGCGGAGGTGAGCCCTTGAGGAAAACAGAGGAAGCACGGAGAAACAGAAGATTACCACCAGCCTGCTGATGGAGAGAGGCAGAGGGTGACGATGCAGAGGCCCCAGGACTACAACTCCCAGGTTGCCCCGCGCCGGCTCGCGCCCGCCCCCTGGAGGCTGCTGGAGAGGCACCGGTAGCATCCCGGGGACCTTTCGCAGAGCATCGGTGAGCTCGGGGAGACGCGGCGGCTGCGGGCTGCTGCGTCGCCGAAGGAGCTGAGCGAGACGGGTGAGTAGGAGCCGCGCTGTCCGCCGGCTGCTCTGCGCTTCAGCCGCGTGGTCTTTCCGGGGCGAGCGCAGGGGTCCGGGGGTCCGGGCGCTGGGGGCGCAGGACTGCCCCCCTGAGAGGGAACACGCGCTGCAGTCGTCTCCGCGGTGGCCCGGGTCCTCCTCCGCCCGGCAGGTCCCGCCTCCAGCCCAGGACGCAGGTCCTGCCCTGTCCTGCCCATTTTGCTCGCGAGCGGCGAGACCGGTGCCGCAGGTGGCAGCGGCAGGTGGCCGCCCCCTCCCATCCCGGCCCGGGGGTTGGCGCAGGAGTCCAGGACCGGAAGGCCAGGGGACTCCCGACGATTGCGGCGCTTGGAGGCGCCCCCAACCCTTGCAGCGGTGGGACAGGTGCGTGGGCGCGCCAGGCTCGGGGTTTCCCGCCCCCCGGGAGTCTCCCTGACCTCCCTGGGGGCTGTCTTGGGTGTCCTGTGTGGTATCTGAGACCGAGTAGTCTTTGGCCATCCCGGCATCCACAGACCCCCGGCCCTCTTCCTGCCCTGGGCTGACTCGGGAAGGGCGCGCGCTGCACATCTCCCTGGTCAGCTGGCAGTATCACAGCGCAGTGCACCTGGTGAGCCCTGGGGGACCATTTGGATGGTTAGGGGTGGCCCCGTGATGCGGAGCTGTCAGGAGTGCAACAGGAACAATTTCCTTCCCATATATCTTTAAAATAAAATTAGTCTTATGTGCTTATTTTTTAAAAGAAAGTTTGACCCTGAATATCTTATTTTTATTTGGTGGAGCTCCATTTGCCGGCACGCAAGTTTATATAATGAGCAGTATACGGGTTGAAAACGTTACTGTGAAGGTGCTCTTCCTTGCCCTCTATCGGAAGAATTGCGTTGGACTGGTTGGCATGCTTATCCCTCAGTGACTGCGGTAGCTGGAGGTAGGAGATAAAGTGTTTTTGAGTAGAGTTACAACTCAACCCTTCAGGACAAATTTTGGTTTCAGAAGATTTTTGTTATCACAGTTTTAAATACGATGTTATTTCAACGTTCAAGATGGGGGAGGAGGAAGGGAGCAAAAGCTTGTCAATCCTAATATCTTGCTCTACAGAAAATAGCTTTGCATGGTTCACTCTCAAAGCAAGCATCTTTAATTTTTTAGCCAAAACTGGATCTGAACCCAACCCCCATACCAAAATCCATCAGTTTTAATAGTTTGTCAGTTGATTTGTTTGGCTGTTCTAGGTAGACAGTCCTATTCTGTTAAGAAACAATAGGTGTTTCTTTCTAATGTTTGCACTTATTTTTTAATTTAATTTTTTATATTAGTTTCAGGTGTACCAAACAACGTAATGATTAGATATTTACACCCTTCACGAAGTAATAACCCCCCCACATCGTATATAACTGTTACAATACCATTGGATATATTCTTTATGCTGTACTTTACATCCCGTGACCATATATAATATATAAAAAATGTTTATTTAATATATGTAAATATATAGTTAATTATATTTGATATTTCAGTGTTATTCTACATCAGCTTCGTGTGTGCAGTCAGTGGTCAGGCATCTAGTCTATGAAGTGATCCCCACAATAAATCCAGCACCCACCTGGTACCCTACATGATCTTTATAACATTATTGATTATATTCCCCATACTGTACTTCACATCCCCTTGACTATTTTGTGACTACCAATTTGTGCTTTCTAATCCCACCTTCTCCCCCATCCCCCAACCCCCCTCCCATCTATCAACCTTAATTTTTTTCTCTGTATCTCTGAGTCTATTTTTGTTTTGTTTGCTTATTTATTCTGTTCTTTAGATTCCATATATAAGTGAGATCATATGGTATTTGTCTTTCTTAGTCTGACTTATTTCACTTAGCATAATATTCTATAGGTCCATCAATGTTGTTGGAAATGGTAAGAGTTCATTCTTCTTTATGGCAGAGTAGTACTCCATTGTATAAATGTACCACAATTTCTTTATCCAATCATCTATTGATGGGCATTTAGGATGTTTCCATATCTTGGCTATTGTGAATAGCACTGCAATACACATAGGGGTGCATATCTCTTTTCAAATTAGTGTTTTGGATTTCTTTGGTTAAATATTCAGAAGTGGAATTGCTGGGTCATAAGGTAGTTCTAGTTTTAAGTTTTTTGAGGAACCTCCATACTGTTGCTCACAGGGGCTGCACTGTACTTCTTATTTCTTGTCATCCATTAACCATTCTGTCTCTAGTGTTCCAATATTAAGGTTAAATAGGACATTTTTTTGGGCTTGATTTTTAGGAGAGGGCTTCTACTGTATCTTCACTAAATATATTCTTTATCATATTATCATAAAGTTTCCCTTTATATCTAATTACTAAGCATTTAAAAAGTCAGGGTAGGTGTTGATTTTTACACCCAAAATGCTTTTGCATAGCATGCTTTGATTGGACCATGTAGTTTTCTTCCTAAAATTGTTAACATTGGTGATTATGTTGCTAGATTTTCTGTCTCTAAAATCTTGGGATCATTTAAAATGCCCTTTTGGGTTGTTTGATAGATTCATTAGCTAACATTTTATTTAGGGTTTTGGTATTCATATTTATAAGTGAGATTGGTATATACTTTCATACTTTCCCCTCTGCCCCCATTTTTGTCTGAGGTCATAAGCAGGGTTATGCTGTCCTCATTGATTAAGTTGGGAAACTGTCCATTACTTTCTATACTCTGGAGCACAATTATCTGTTCGTTGAAGTTTGACAGAATCTGACTGCAGACTGCCTGGTGTGCTGCTGTTTTTTTGGTTTTTTGGTTTTTCTTTTTAAGAAGTTGATATCAATATTTAACTTACTTTTCAATATTTTACATGTCATGGATTTTTCTCAGGTTTTCTGTTTCTTCAAAGTCAATCTAATACTTTATATCTTCCTAGAAAATCATTAACATTATTGAAATTTAATATATATTAGCATTATGTTATATGTAGTTTTCTGTTGTAAGAAAATAAACTTTTCCATATTTGTGGTTTATTATTCTTTCTTGTTCATACTTTTTTTGGGTAACTTTTCTCTTTTTTATTGGTCAGACTTGCTTAATGCTTGCTTATTTTATTAGTATTGTCAATGAGCCAGCTTTTGGATTTATTGGTTAATCCTATTGATTTTTATTTTTCTATGTCATTAATTTTGGATCTTAATCTTTGTCTTCCTTTATACTTAATCTGAGTTTATTTTATTCAAGTTCTAGCCTTTTGAATTTAAAACTTAGATTATTTCTGTAGTCACTCATTTCTCCAGAGCAAGACAAGGAAAGACTTCTAATTCTTTCATTTCAGTTGCCTCCCATTTGGCTTAGCTCTATCATTACTTTAACTCTTCCAATCAGACATTATTGCTGCTGTTATTATATTATTTTCTGGGTCAATATTTATTAGATTTATCTACCTATTTACCATTTTCTTCATTCCTTCTTGATCACAGATACTCTTTTTTGGATAATTTTCCTCTCCCTGAAGAACATTCTTTAGAAGGTCCTTCGGTGATGATAAATTCTCTGTTTTTATAATATCTGAAAATGCCTTTATTTTGCCCACATTCTTGAAGTTTGACTTCACTAGTTTTTGCTAGTCCATTGATTTCAAAGTTATTTTTACATTTTTCTATCATTTTTAAAGAATGTTTTATAGACGGAAGGTTTGGGGATCTCTATTCTGCCATATTGCCGAAAGGAAGATGAAGATTAAAAACAGAAATTAATTTGTAGCTTAATGAACTGCCAGTTTTTATGACCTTTCCCTGAACCCTTAGTATATTGAGTACAAAGTTCTATATTTATCTCACATTTATTAATCATAATTTATGTTCTCTGTATCCATAACTTATTTTTTCTCTGTTTGAACTATTGATTTTGAAAGTTGTGTTAAAGACTTCCACTATGATTTCTAGTAGGTTTCTTTTGTTCTACTTTTATCAGTTTTTGCAATATATGTATATCGAAGCTATGTTTTTATGTGCTTAAAGTGTCAACATTTTTTTTTTAAGTTGCAGAAAAGGAGTTTATTAGGAGAAAAAAAATATTTTTCAGAGAAGCAGAAGTGGGAGAAAAAGTAGAGAATGGCTCAAGGGCCATTATTAGAAAATAAAGTACACTCCAAAGAGTTTGGAACAGGCCGAGCAAAGGAAGCTCAAAAAGCTCAAGGGGGTCCAGGGCAAGGGCCAGGGCCAAGGAGTCGTCATTATTAGGAGAAAAAGTACACTCCAAAGAGTTTGAAGCAGGCCTGAGCAGAGGCAAGGCTCAAAATGCTCAAAAGGCCAGTGTCAACATTTTTATGTCTTCTTGGTGAACTATACCTTTTGGGAATACAATAGTCATTTAATATTTTTGCTTTTAATTCTGTTTTGTTTGATATCAATATTGCTACACCTGCTTTATTTTTGTTGGCATTTATCGGGCATATCTTTTCATTCATTGTGGAGGGTGCCTGTCACCATCTGGCTGCCCGTTGGAAGCTTGTGGCCTCTAAGCTCAAGGTGCTGTGTTCAATCTCAGTTGCGGGTGGGTGTAGCCACCATCCCATGCAGGAGTCGAACCAGCAGCCTTGTTGTTAAGAGCACACGTTCTATCCACTGAGCCATTCGAGTGGCAGTTCAGTTCAAGGTGCCAAATTCAGTCTTAGTTGTGGGTGGGCATAGGCCACCATCGAACAGGCAATCTTGTTGTTGCACCAGCTGAGCCATCCTGCCACCTGTTGGCAGCTTAGCGACAGCTCAGCTCGGGCACAGCGTCACTGGCCCATGTAGGAATCGAACCGGTGGCCCTGTTGCTCAGAGCTCATGCTCTTAAGCCAAATCTTAACCAACTGAGCCACTCAGCTGGCCCTCCTGTCAACTCTTTAGCCCATCTATTGAGTGTTTTTCAGTGTTGATTGTCATATGTTTAATTTCAAGCTCCCTACTTTTTAAATTTAATTTTTGGAATAAGATACTCAGTGTTCAAAAATCATACTGTGTTCAAAATATGTAAGTGACAGGTCTCTCCACCATCCCTTTCCTATTTACCTATCAGTTAGCTGCTTGCTTTTCATGGGTGGAATGTCCCCTCAAATCTTCCCAGGGTTATCTAATAATTTCTTCTATGTGCCCTATTAACTCTATTTCCTTGGAGATATATATTTATAGTCTCCTATTGATTTGGTTTTCCCCTTTCATGATGTTGAATAAAAACTCGGAGATTCTTTCTTTGTGTGCTCATCTTTGAGTTTGAGAATTCCTGTTTTCCTGCTTGTCCTATTTATCATAGGCTGCCTCTGGTGACTGTTGAAGAGTTTGGAGGTGCTGCTAAGTGGAGTGTATATTCTAGGTAAGGGGTCATTTGTAGTGGGCTGCTTAGTATTTGTGGGGA